CTTATATCCCCACTTACTAAACAGACCCCCTCTCAGCCAAGGGGACTCTAGATAAACCTAACCTTAAAACTGAGTTCCCAGCCCTGAGGGGGAGGGATGTGGGACACACCTCGTTACACCCCTCCCTTGCTAATGGCCATCAGCTTTTGTCCTAAGGGCTGAGCAGAAACAACCTCATGATCCAGACCAGCGATCTTCCCTGAATAGAGACCACCAGCCACAGAGGGGGTTGACCAGTCCACAGAGCACATATAGAAGGTTTTCTTGTCCTTGCTTCCCTGTTTGAGGTGGTGCCCGACATTTCTGAGCATGACCCCCTGGAGGGTGTAAGCTCTACTGCACAGATGTGTGCTCTCCTTTCAGAAATATTCACAGAGCTTCTCCTGTGGCTGTTAAACCTATGCATTTGCCCCTCAGCATAAATTCCTGTCCCCACATCTACCCTTTGAAGCACCTGCTGCTGGCTCTGACCAGAGGCTCTGCACCCAGCCTGTCAGGAGGGCCACCTGTGAGCTGCAACCCTTCACAAGAAATAAAGCTCTTCTTCCAAATTTGGAAACCTCTGTCACTTTCCTTAAGTTTCTAAACAGCTTTCTCCACTAAAAGGGACCAGGACTCCTTGGGAAAATGATGACTCCAAGGCCAGGGAAGAGAAAGTACGAAACAAGTCTGGCACATCCTGTACTAGAAAGTTAGGAAGTACTCAGTGATGGGACTGGGTCAAATGGCAGCCCACTAGCCAGACATGGGGAAGCATGCACATTGGAATACACAGGATAGCAATAGATTTTAATCCTGGAATAAAACAGAACCCATGGGTCACACTGACATAAATAACAAATGCAGAAAGATAAGGGGAGATGGCAGCAATTTTCCTTACAGTCAGTGAATAGAATGTTAAGCAATAAATACAGAGGAAATAATGAAGTTATAAAATTATCATTTGGTGCCAGAAAAAGTCTGGGTGTTAAAAAAATAAATGGAGAGGCTCGGTGTCTGTGGCTCAACTGGCTAAGGCGCCAGCCACATACACCTAAGGTGGTGGGTTCGAATCCAGCCCGGGCCCACCAAAAAACAATG